GCAGACAAAGCCATGGTCTCTTTAGAAAGCATATTATCCACCATAGAATTCAGGGGAATTTTTTTTTCTGATGTGCAAGTAGTTCACAAGGGAGGAAATATTTTAGGAAGGTTTAAAAGAAGGAATCATTGGCAGCCCTATGGATTTTGAGTAGCACTTTCACAGCATCTCTAAAGATATAGCACCTACAGGACTATTTCAAAAGAGAATGTTAAGATTTTGCAGATTTACTATCAATTGTATGGCAAAGAAAGTGAAATTTGTGCAGCTCCACATCAAAATGCAAGCTTTGTTATCATTACTTTAGACACCTCCAAATCTCCACTCTCAATACCAATCCAAGCTGTGTATGAGATCAGATGCCAATTATCTTTAAGATTTGTATTTACATTGTGTATATATCTAAAAACCTATTTAGAACCTCAAATGTTATTAAGCATAGTAATGGACAGTAGAAAATAGACAACAAGACAAATTTAAGCATGTAGTTTTGTTATTGTCAAATGAAAACAAGCCAACCCTTCCACCCCCAGCTCCTCCAGAAAAAAAAATCCCAAAAAACACCCCACTAAGTAGCAACAGTCTTCATATCAACAAAAATATTAGTCCACTGAGAGTGGACTAATTAAACCCACCTATTAAAAATTTAATTTTCTACACAGCAAAATGCTACTAAATAGGAGCCTAATGAAGTGCCATATCCGCCACTCTTACCCATGTCGAATAACCCATGTTACTCATTAAGAAAGCCAATAAACTTCCACAGAGTTACACAATGCATAAGGAGATACACAACATGGCTACGTCTAGACTATATCCCTTTTTTGTAAAAGGGATGTAAATTAGACGTATCGCAATTGCTAATGAAGCGGGGATTTAAATCTCCCCCGCTTCATTAGCATGAAAATGGCTGCCGCTTTTTTTCCGCACGGAGCTTTGCCGGAAAAAAGCTCCAGTCTAGACGCTGATCTTGTGGAAAATAAACCCTTTTCCAAAAGATCCCTTATCCCTTATTTCATAGAGATGTCAACTATACAACTATACTATAGATGGGTGTCAACTATACAAAGATTCTAGACACAGAAATGACAAACTCTGCAGTTTGAATAGTAATAGAGATGTAGCCATGTTAATCTAGTCTAGCTGAAACAAAAACCAGGACTATGTAGTTCTTTAATGTTAGTCTTTAAAGTGCTACATAGTCCTGTTTTTTTGTTTCTGCAGTTTGAAGGCAGTTTTAACAAGCTGGCAATTCTAAAAATGCCCAGAAGATGGCGCATGACACATACAGTTACAACTAAATGAACATGAACCTTTTAGAAAAAATATTGCTAACATATTAAAAAAGCAACCCTGCTGTTCTATTCTTTCTAGTTCACAGTTATGGGACTATTTGTTAGTTAGAGATTCTTCTTTAATTTGCCACAAACATTGCTGTTACCTCTTCAAAAAGAGGCATGCCCTCTATTCTGACAGAAACATATTTTAGATGACACAGAAAATAGGAAATCTGAATTGTTGTTACTATCCCATGTCACTTCTTGTAAAATATAATGGGGCATTGGTGTCCTCAACCTGCTCAAATTCTAACCCAGGTTTAGCCAAATTAAATTCAGTCCCTATGAAGTTTCCAAATGGACAGAATAGTAGTTTTCAATTCCTAAATAATATCATATAGCACTACAGTTCTCCCAGTCCAGATCCACAAATAGCTGAAGTTCTCCTCTCACTGAAGTCAATAGGAGTTTGACAATGGCAATGACAATTTCAGTGGTAGCAGCGCATACCTGAAGGATGTCAAAGGCTAGTATAAATGTAAGATAATATTAAGATCTGTCTTCTGATGTTTCACAGGTGGAATACTACAGTCATAGTCCAATTTAATAAACATAATAATATTTTCTAATTAGTCTGTAGTGTCTTTGTGTAGAAACATCTTGTTGTGTTTTACAAATGAGTATTATTAGCCCCATATTACAGATGTGGAAATTCAGGCACAAAGAAAGTGAAGATACTTGCCAAAAGTTACACTAGAAATCTATGGCTGAACCAGCAGTAAGACTCCAATTCCCTGATTTTCCAGTCCTGTTCTTCAAATGCTTGGTAGTCCTTTCCATATTTCCACAGACTTCTCCAGAATGGAAGAAAAGATATGCAATTTCCACATAAAGATGGTCACAGCACAGAACCTTGTTTGTAAACTGAATTATAATAAATGAATTCCAAGAACATTTAAATGTATTTCAAGAGAAATAAAGTAGGCAGTAGTTATGCATCTAAGAACATATGGAACAAATGCTTCACAAAATTACCTCTATTTTACAACATACCAATCAATTGTGTTAGCTCCTCAGCTAGAGCAAATTGAAATAGCTTCAGTGAAGTTTATATAATTTTACCAATTCGTTCCAGCTGAGGATCTGAAAACTTACATCTTAAATAGCTTCTTTTAAATATAGATAATACATATTATGAGCAGTATTTGGGTTTTTATTTAACAGCAGTCCTCACCTTCTGGAAAATGAATATTTGAATCACAAAATAAAAATACTCCCTCAAGGAAATCTTTCAAGTGAATTGAAAAGGATGAATATTTTGTTCAGTCTAAGGCTATGTCTACACTACAAGGTTTTTGTGCAAAACCAGCTGTTTTTGCGCAAAAACTGGCAGAGTGTCCACACCTCAAGTGCAGTTTTGCACAAGAAAAAATACAGTATATCGACAGGACAGAGGGCTTTTGGCGGTAGAGTTATTCCTCTCCCCAGGAGGAATAACTCATTTTTGCACTATAGGTCGTGCACAAAAAGGCATGTGTGGAAGCTCCACAGGGATTTCTTGCACAAAATGACCTGACCAGAGAAAGCACAGGTGCTCTGATGGCCATTCTGGGAATGGCCATCAGAGCTTTCTTGTGCAAGAGCATCCATGCAGTGTGGACGCTCTCTTGCGCAAAGGTACATTGCTTTTGTGATGCGCTTTTGCGATGCGCTTCTTCTGCAAAAACCTTCTTGCGCTAAAAGCCGGTAGTGTAGACATAGCATGTATTTAGTGGCATTATACAATAAATGCTTTCAC